TGTTGTAGACTCCCCATGGAGGCTACAGACTCTCATTTTCTCAGCTCCATTTCAGAAAGGAGAGGTTTCAATGTGTTGCTGATGTTCGTGGTCTCTTTAGGGGAATCACACGGTTCTGTTCACACAATTTCAACCCTGTGTCGTCATGCACACACATACTTATTCAGGGGAATGTCAGTCTTTGCAGGTTTCTTCGGGCACTTTTGGTGTACTGAGCTGAAATATGGGGGTGGTGGTAGGGTGTGGATTAAACACTGAGATACACACCAACATGGAATCCCAGCCCTAGACTTGGACTAAGACAAGGGAGGCACTGGGTCTGGGAGAGGCATTGGTGATTTAATCAACATCTAAATGTGAAACAAGACAGCTCCAAGACCAGAGGCCTCTCCTAAAGTCTCCTGGATAAGCAGCTCCTCACTTAACACCTACATTGTGCACAGTCTCTTATTCATCTCAAAAGACCTGTCTTAAGTGGTTTCCCACCAACCTAGTAGGGGCGAGGCTAAACTAGATGCAGGGAATGAAGTAAAAAAGTATATCTGTGTTGTGTTTCCTCAAACACACTGGAGGAGGCTCATACCCGTAATATACAATTTAAAATATAAAACTTCTTGATCATTTCGCCTTCAAAAAACATTTTGTATGCTTTTTGTTTAAACGCACAAATCACTAAACCCCGTGTGGCTCTCAAAAAAGTTGCTACTTAATATTAAGGATGGCAAGGCCTTTCAAATGTCAAAAAATATTAATACGTCTTCATCTGAGTCTCCTGGGAACCTGAGGGCAACCCAAACATCACTATTTCTTTTATTTATTTATTTATTTATTATTTTTTAAAAAATTTATTTTATTGCATTTTAGGTTTTGGGGTACATGTGAAGAACATGCAACGTTGTTGCATAGGCACACACGTGGCTTACCAAGGACTTTAATTATTTCCAGAGACACCAGCTCACTCCAGATAGAACTTGTAAATAATTTATTTTTGCAGTGTGCTTGTCACAGCAGGTGCTGAATAAATATTAGTGAAACCAAGCACGGCAGGTTTTCAGGTTGGAAGCCACTTGAGACAGGTCTTTTGAGGTGAATAAGAGACTGTGCACAATGTAGGTGTTAAGTGAGGAGCTGCTTATCCAGGAGACTTTAGGAAAGGCCTCTGGTCTTGGAGCTGTCTTGTTTCACATTTAGATGTTGATTAAGTCACCAATGCCTCTCCCAGAAGGACACTAGACTTCCCCAGTTCCTGAACTTCATTAACAGACCGAAGCAAAGACCCTTTGTGAAGAGAAAAAGATTGCAAATTGCACCAGCAACACGAGTGTGCTGAGTTCTGGGGCTCTCCTAGTTCTTTCTGGGAAGGTTGCATTGCCAATGAGTCTTTTTTTTTTTTTTTTTTTTTTTTTTTGAGACAGAGTCTTGCTCTGTTATCCAGGCTGCAGTGCAGTGGCGTGATCTCAGCTCACTGCAACCTCCATTTCCTGGGTTCAAGAGATTCTCTTGCCTTAGCCTCCTGAGTAGCTGGGATTACAGGCGTGTGCCACCGTGCCTAGCCAATTTTTGTATTTTTAGTAGAGACGGGGTTTCACCATGTTGGTCAGGTTGGTGTCGAACTCCTGACCTCGTGATCTGCCCGCTTCAGCCTCCCAAAGTTCTGGGATTATAGGCACGAGTCACTGTGCCCAGCTAACCAATGAGTCTTTTTAGGCTTGAGTTACTGTTATTTCACTCATCAGGACATCACCTTCAGATGTCCTGATGGAGGTTAAAAAAAACACAACCTTTTTAGTGTGGGCAACTGCACCTGTCACCTCTGGCCCAAGAGGTGACAGAGCAGGGTCATAAGGACTGTGGCACTAGGCAGAGACCCAATAAGTCTTGGCTAAAAAGACAGCACTCATTTCCTGATCAAAGTCCTTAACCTCCCCTGGGAATGAAGGATGTCGGCCATGGTCCACCGTTTACACAGGTAAGTACACAACCCTTCTACTTTCTGTCCTCCCCAAATTAGGTTTGTTCTTGGTATCATAGGCTCTGGCTGAATGATGGCAAATATATGTCACAAATAATCCAGACAGCAAATAATGCATTCATGAGTAGGAAGGGACACATAATTTTGGCTGTCTCATTTATTTCTGTTAAACTTAAGCCAACTTTGTGTTTCTAGTACCTTTTGCCTTTATGTTATTCCTAAATAAATGAGGGTTGATTTCTATCGTATGAAGCCAACTCGTCCCCAAAAGGTACATGTGCCCTACCTTCCTTGACCTCACCAAGTGCCCTCCACCCTCAGGCCCTGTACTTGCTGTTCCCAACCTGGAACCCTCTTCCTCAGATGTGTCTCTGTATATCACTCTCCATTCATTCAAGCCTCAGCTGAAATGGCACCTGCTCTCCAGGCTGCCTTGGGCTGCTTACAGGACACTGCCCTCACCATCCAGTCCATGACAGCATTCTGCCATCATGGATATTCTGCTGTTCTTTGCAGCAATCCTCACTTCCCAATATCTCTGATTCATTTGCAGGGTTATTTTTGACTTTCTGGGAAAGAAAAGTACATGAAGGCAAGGACTTGATCGAATTTTTGTCTACAATGAAATTTCCATGGCTCAGCTCATAAGAGAAGCCCGCGAGTTATGTGGTCAACAATGGATGTGTATATAGATGAAAACTGACATTTATTCAGAATTCTCTTATGCTACAACATATTCTAAAAACTTGGCATAGAGTATCCATCATCATTACAAATTTTAGTATGGTATCACTTATGCCCATTTCACAAAAGAGAGACAGAAATCCTAGAGAAACCAGCATTGTAACTTGCCCAAAGACACGGCATGACTGCACATGGCCTCCAGGATCTAAGCCCATATCTGCATGAGCCTAACTAAATCCCATCACCGCCCACTGCCCAGCACTGCCTGCCCAGGAAGTCAGTTACTCCCCTAACTCACAGCATCCTTTCAATCAGTGGGAGGGAAACCTTAAAATGCTACCAAAGTGATAAACAAATATTAATTCATAGGTTTCTTCTACGGTGAATTTGTAAACTTGGGTTAATTTCTTATTTTTAAAACACTGAAACTTTCAGTGGCTAACAAATACACGAAAAATAGCTCAACATCACTGATCATTAGAGAAATGCAAATCAAAACCACAATGAAATATTATCTCACACCAGTTAGAATGGCGATTATTAAAAAGGTAAGAAACAACGGATACTGGCAAGGTTGCAGGGAAGTTGGAATGCTTTCATGTTGTTGGTAGAAATGTAAATTAGTTCAACCATTGTGCAAGACGGAGTGACAAGTTGTCAGAGATCTGGAACTGGAAATACCATTTGCTCCAGTAAACCCATTACTAGGTATACACCCAAAGAAATATAAATCATTCTGGCATAAAGATGCATGCATGTGAATGTTCATAGTAGCACTATCCACAATAGCAAAGACATGGAATTAAGCCAAATACCCATCAATGATAGACTGGATAAAGAAAATGTGGCATGTATACATCATGGAATACTATGCAGTTATAAAAGGGAAGGAGAGTATGTCTTTTGCAGGGACAACGATGAAGCTGGAAGACATTATCCTCAGCAACTAACACAGGAACAGAAAAGCAAGTATTGCATGTTCTCACTTATAAGTGGGAGGTTAACAATGAGAATACATGGACACACGGAGGAAAACAACACTTACTGGGGCCTGTTGTGGGAAGGCAGGAAGGGAGAGTTTTAAGGAAAAGAGCTGATGCGCCGCCCGCGGTGGCTCAAGCCTGTAATCCCAGCACTTTGGGAGGCCGAGGCGGGTGGATCACGAGGTCAAGAGATCGAGACCATCCTGGTCAACACGGTGAAACCCCGTCTCTACTAAAAATACAAAAAATTAGCCGGGCATGGCAGCACGTGCCTGTAATCCCAGCTACTCAGGAGGCTGAGACAGGAGAATTGCCTGAACCCAGGAGGCGGAGGTTGAGGTGAGCCTAGATCGCGCCATCGCACTCCAGCCTGGGTAACAAGAGCGAAACTCCGTCCCAAAAATAAAAAAAAAAAAAAAGAGCTGATGCATGCTTGGTTTTATACTTAGGTGATGGGTTGATAGGTGCAGTGAACGACCACCGCACACGTTTACCTATGTAACAAATTGGCACATATTGCACGTGTGCTCTGGAATTTCAGAAAAAATAAAAATAAAAAACCCAGAGATTAGATATTAATATATTCCCTTTGCACTTGAAACACCTTTTTTTTTTTTTTTTTTTTTTTTTTTGAGACGGAGTTTCGCTCTTGTTACACAGGCTGGAGTGCAATGGCGGGATCTCGGCTCACCGCAACCTCCGCCTCCCGGGTTCAGGCAATTCTCCTGCCTCAGCCTCCTGAGTCGCTGGGATTACAGGCAAGCGCCACCATGCCCAGCTAATTTTTTGTATTTTTAGTAGAGACGGGGTTTCACCATGTTGACCAGGATGGTCTCGATCTCTTGAGAAACACCTTTAATGAAAAAGGAATGACTGTGGGTGAAGAAGGACTGCCTCCCAGGGGAAGATACAGGTATTGCACCTACTCCAACTATAATTGTTCCAGGAGAGAAAGACAGGATATGAAGCTGTCTGCACCTTGAAGAATAGGAGGAGAAGAAGAAGTGAAGAGAGGCAGAAGAAGACTTGAGGAGGCAGGAAGCACAAGGCAGGAAGGAATAGAGAAGTCATGATCATAATCACCACAGTGACGAGAGCACAGGTCACGCTGCTGGGTTTTGCTCTATATTTTGGAAAACGCTGTCACATTCAATTTATCTGGAGCCATGTGTCATTACTGCAGTCCCCAAATTGTCAGGGGTCCAAAAATCACTGCCTTCTCTGTTTCTACAAACAGAGCACAGGCCGGCTGGGTTCCCCTTGGTGCATGCTAATGTGTCCTGGTCTCACGCCAGGTTGACACATTGCTTTATTCCTGGAAGGGACTAAGGTGCCTCCCTGGGGAATAAATAGAGCAGTGCTGGGCGCTCACCTCCACAGCAGCTTCCTTGATCCCTGCCACACACAACTGAACGCCGACAGCACCCGCCTCACCATGAAGCTGCTGATTGTCCTCATGCTGACGGCCCTCCCTCTGTACTGCTATGCAGGTGAGTTCTGGGCAGGGAGGTCAGCCTCAAAGCTAGGGGTTGTGCAGTCACAAACCTTACCCTGCACACTCTGCCTCACTTGTTGCCAAAGTAGGTGCAAGTGGGTGAATAGCTGACAAGTTCACAGTCAACTAAACAGAAGACAGCAGAGCCCAGAGCACAAGCAGCTCATGCAAATCCACGTCCTGAGCACTTTCCACTCCCCAAAAGTGGAGGCCACCTCAGATCCTATCATAAGTAAGAAGTTCTGTTTTAGGTTCCTTTTTTATTGCAGTTGACTTAACAGAGCTGATGGGCAATGTCTTAGACCCATTCATCTGAAATCATTGAACCCCTACTTGATTCTGGGAATGATAAAAGGGAAGCATTGCATGACTTTGGACCAGAGAAGTTGAAGCCGTGTTTGCTGTGTGTCCCCATTCGGAGCCCCTCATTTCCCGAGGGTCCTCTTCACCAAGAATGCACAGGGTTGGGCTGATCTGAGCTTTAGAGGTCAGGAGAATTTGCGCAGACTGAGTTTATGCTCCTAGAATTGAAAACCTGAGACCCTGCGCCATAATCTTTCTGAAGCTCAGTCTCTCCTGGGAGGTAAGCAGATAACTAGCCTCAGAGCTCATCCCCAGAATGGGTTTGAGGGAATGTGTTCTCTTTTGGGGTCCATGAGGGGGCGTAGCTTTAAGGGCAAGAATTTCCCAGTCCCATACCCCCCTCCCATCTCTTTCCATTCGGGAGATTCAATGGTTTCTGTTTCAATTTTGCAGTCGCGGGAAGAAACTAAAAGTCAGTCACTCCAGCGGAAGTTCTAAGGAACTCCTTTCATTGGCCCAGGGTCTTAGAGAAGGTGGGGGTTTCTCCCAGGAGAAAAGTCCGTGCTCCCTCAACTGAGCCAGATTTTCCAGCTCTCTGGAATCCCCTCCCACATGGTGGGAGCTCCTTCTGTGATTTCCCCTCTGGAATCCCCTTCCACACTCTTTGTGGAAGCATTTCTCTTCTCCTTTCCTTCTCTTTTCTCTACCTAAATAAAATCACCTTTCTGCAACGCTTTTTGGGTCCGATATTCTTTTTACGAGCATACGGTCCACCTGCAGTGGCCCCACCGCTTATTCCTTAAGAGGTTGGAGGCCAAAAACCCACAACGATCACTGGCATCCAAGAAAAAAACCCAGCTACAGGTTCACCCCTCTGGTGATGGCCCATGTTCTTGTGCCTTTTTCTCAGGTTCTGGCTGCCAACTGCTGGAGTTTTTGGTTGACAAGGCCTTTGATCCTGAAGTGTCTGTATCAGAATTCCAGGAATATCTACAAGAGTTCATAGACGGTGATAACAGTGCACAGGCTGCAGCGGAACTCAAACAGTGTTTCCTCAACCAATCAAACAAAACTCTGCACAATTTTGGAGTGATTATGGTAATTTCTTTTTTTTTCTTATGTGCCCTTTAAAATCACGGTCCAGAAACAAACAGGTTCCAAATGTGCCACGAGGAGTGTTAGGCACTGGTGAACAAGCTTTCTTTATACATTGGCTAATTTAAGGGTGCTTTGCAACTTTACTTTGAGTGTCTTCAGGGAGTGATAATTGGAAAAAAAGAAGGAAGAAAGAAAGAAAGAAAGGAAAGAAAGAAAAGAAAGCTCCAGCAAAGAAGGCAGAGCTAATCATCAGCTCCCCAGTCCATTCACACACATGGACACACACACACGCACACTCTTTCTCACATAGACACACACAAACACAGACATACTTATAGAAACACAGAGACACACACACATAGACACACAGACACACACACAGAATCAGAGACACAAACACACACATGTACATAGAAACACACAGACACATGCACATAGACACAGAAAGATAAACACATAGACATACACACACGGACACAGACAGGGACAGAGATACACCTACATTTTCTTTCTTTCTTTAATTTTTGTGAGACAGGGTCTCACCCTGTCACTGGGCTGGAGTGCAGTGGTGCAATCTCGGCTCACTGCAACCTCTGCCTCCCAACTCCAAGGTATTTTCCTGCCTCAGTCTTCCCACTAGCTGCAATTACAGGTGCCTGCCACCACGCCGGGCAAGTTTTATATTTTCCGTAGAAATGGAGTTTCACCATGTTGGCGAGGCTGGACATTTTCTATCAAGAGAAAATATCTGATTCTCAAAGAGCCACTCACTACTGGGAACAACCAACAATACAATTTACCTTGTCATAGTAATGAATAATCAAAATGTTCTCAAAATTATTTTACACAGTGCAGAAAATACTATTTGGGCAAAATCTACAGATTCTAATATAAAGAATTTAAAACCCATGCCCAGATTTGTTGGCACACCTGACTGGGAATCATGGACTATTTAATTAAATACCTCTGGAAATAGGAAGTGCAGATCATGGTGCGAAACAGCACGAGTGCCAGAATTCTTCATCAAAATAAAAGTCAATGATTATAACAATAAGTATTTCTGCCCATTAAAAAAAACCATGTTACCTACAGATTCTATTTTTAACATTTATGTAATATTTCAAAATTCCATTTGAAACATTTTATGGTGGAAAATGTAAAGACCTACCAAACATTTGTAGAATCATTTCTTCTTTAAAAACCTAGAGTAGACTAATCATATCTAGCTCCAATATTTTTAAATCTATTCCAAGGTAAAGGGTGAAAAGCCTCAGATTGTTACAATATTTCTCACTCGTAAGGCGACACAACAACTCCAAACCATCAATATTCATATATCTGAGCTGAGGTTTTAACAATTCTGTATTGTAGCCGGGTGCAGTGGTTCGTGCCTGTAGTCCCAGCTACTCGGGAGGCTGAGGCGGGAGGACCACTTGAGTCCAGGAGTTCTGGGCTGTAGTGCGCTATGCTGATCGGGTGTCCACACTAAGTTTGGCATCAATATGGTGGCCTCCTGGGATTGGGGATCACCAAGTTGCCTAAAGAGGGGTGAACCGTTCCAGGTCAGAAACAGAGCTGGTCAAAATTCCCGTGCTGATCGGTAGTGGGATCGCGACTGTGAATAGCCACTGCACTCCAGCCTGGGCAACATAGGGAGACACCGTCTCTTAAAACCAAAAGCAAAAACAATTCTGTGTGGAAAGAGTGGTCTCAGAATCAGTTTCAACTGGCAGGTCTTCATCCAATAGTGCATGTCATGTATGTATTGGATAAATTATTTCAAGGAATAGGATTTTTGGAGAAGAAAATCTTAAGGGGATCCTGGCAGGGAAAAGATCCTAAAATCCTGACCCCTGTTGGATGTCTGTGGGAGTAAGTGTCTCCTGGGTCTTGTGTGTTGGCTCACAGCTGTAACCCCAGCACTCTGGGAAGCTGAGGTGGGTGGATTAACTGAGGTCAAGAGTTCAAGACCAGCCTGGCCAACATGGTGAAAACCTATCTCTACTAAAAATACAAAAATTAACTGGGCGTGGTGGCAGCCATCTGTAATCCCACCTACTTGGGAGGCCAAGGCAGGATAATGGCTTTAACCTGGAGACGGAGATTGTAGTGAGCTGAGATCATGCCACTTGCACCTTGCACTCTAGCCTGGGAGGCAGAGAAACATTGCCTTAAAAAAAAAAAAGTGTCTTTTGGAAGACAGAATAATTGAAAAGAGAATTCTTGTTTTGCTTCCAGTGCAAATTTTCCTAAGTGTTAGATGTTTGTGAACAAATGCAGAAAAACAACATGAAGAGAAATGTCTGTATTTTAGTATCTCACTTTCTAAGAGTGATTTGCAAATCTAGGTGGCCTGCTTTTGTTTTCCAGCAAGTAATATATGACAGCGCTTTCTGTGCACGCTACTAAATTTATACGGGACCTTTGACTCAGACACCACTACGACACGGAAGATGGCCAGAAAACTGCTGCCTACTGCTAGAAACCACGATTTTTCTTATTTTCTTTTTCCTTTGGATCTTTTTTTGTGGAAACTGCAAGGCAATTGTTGAAATCTCAAATTCATTTTCATTCCAATAAACTAACTGCAAGTCATCAAGTTCCCTTTGTCGTTTCTTGAAAAGGGAGGCTTTCCAGGCCTCACAGTCAGGCTGCCTATGGGAGGCAGACACAGACAGGCCTTGCAAGTGTCAGGTGAGGGACGAGACTTCTGTGGAGCACCTGCTTTCTCAGCATCTCTTGCCCAAGCACTGGGCCTCTCTCTGAAGACGGTTTCCCTACCATCATCCCACCACCTGCCCACATGCCTCTCTCTGGGTTCCTCGGGCTCTGGGTTCTGAGGTGGGGTCCTGCTCAGAGACCCTGCTTTCACTCCAGTCCTCCTGTGTGTGCTGAGTCCTGCTGTCCACACCAGGCTCCTCTGCACTATCCCTGGGCCTCCCCTAGGTGTGCAGGGTTCAGGCCAGAGCCAGCCAGGGATAAAAGAACTGCAAAGCAGGGTGGATCGTGTCTGGCTTTTAAATTATGTTTTTTGTTCATCATGGATATCGGCCTCAGATTTAATTTTTTAAATATTGCATTAAAATATTTTTATAATATTATATTATTTTAGACACATAAAAATATAATTACTGGGTTTCATAGCATCCTCCCTAAATTGTTGAGTTTCCCTGAGTCCTGTCCTTGCAGCGGGAATGGGGTCCATCCTCCCTTGCCCCACAGTGAGCTGCAAAGGCAATGAGGGTGGAGAGGAGGGAGTGTGCTCTGCAGGGACCCAGCACAGCAGGGGATGTTTAAATGGAATCTGTCTCCTTCATGTCCTGTCCCCAGCATACCTTTCACCAGGGGTAGGTTATTGCCCCCTCTTCTGCTCTTACCTCAGCCTGTCCCCCCTCTTTCTGGTGCCATCCACTCACTCAGGAAGACCCTGTCTATTTCTCAGGACAGGTCACCTCCACCAGGGCCAATTCTTTTCTCAGGCAAGGCAGCTGCAGTGTTCCAGACCCATAATAAATATAGGGGTAAATGAAAATGTTATAATTTTTAGAAAATCATTTCCTAAAGTGAATATAATGATGATGAATATATATACACCAACAAATCTAGCCAGAAATGTACACACCATTTACCAATGTGGTTGTAAAATACAAAGTTTAATATGTTTTTATAAAGAAGTGTCAGAAAGCAGAAACTGGACCCCTTCCTGACATCTTACACTAACATTAACTCCAGATGGATTAAAGACTTAAACGTAAGACCTAACACCATAAAAGCCCTAGAAGAAAATCTAGGCAAAATCATCCAGGACATAGGCATAGGCAAGGAATTCATGACCAAAATACCAAAAGGAATTGTAACAAAAGCCAAAATAGACAAATGGGATCTAGTTAAACTTCAGAGCTTCTGTACAACAAAAGAAACAATTACTAGAGCAAACCAGCAACCAACAGAATGGGAAAAATCTTTTGGAATCTACCCATCTGACAAAGGGCTAATATCCAGAATCACAAAGAACTAAAACAGGTTTACAAAAAACAAACAAACAAACAAATCCATCCAAAAGCAGGAGAAGGATATGAACAGACACTTTTCATAAGAAGACATTTATGCAGCCAAAAAGCATATGAAAAAATGCTCATAATCACTTGTCGTTAGAGAAATGCAGATCAAAACCACATTGAAATACCATCTCACGCCAGTTAGAATGGCGATCATTAAAAAATCTGGAGACAATAGATGCTGGAGAGGATGTGGAGAAATAGGAACACTTTTACACTATTGGTGGGAGTATAAATTAGTTCAACCATTGTGGAAGACAGTGTGGCAATTCCCTAAGGATCTAGAAATAGAAATTCCATTTGACCCAGCAATCCCATTACTGGGTGTATACCCAAAGGATTATAAATGGTTCTGTTATAAGAACACATGCACATGCATGTTCATCACAGAACTGTTTACAATAGCAAAGACCTGTAACCAACCCAAATGCCCATCAATGATATACTGGTCAAAGAAAATGTGGCACATATACATCATGGAATACTATGCAGCCATAAAAAATGTTGAGTTCGTGTCCTTTGTAGGGACATGGAAGAACCTGGAAACCATCATTCTCAGCAAATTGACACAAGAACAGAAAATCAAACACCCCAGTATGTGATGCTCCCCTTGGATGTTGAACAATGAGAACACGTGTACACAGAGAGTGAAGCATCACACACTGGGGTCCGTTGTGGGGGGTGGAGCTATGGGAGGGGTAGTGGGAGGGAGGGTGGGGAGGGATAATGTGGGGAGAAATGTCAGGTATAGGTGATGGGGGTATGAAAGCAGCAAACCACCTTGCCATGAATGTACCTATGCAACAATCTTGCATGATCTGCACATGTACCCCAGGGTCTAAAGTACAATAAAACAAAAAAGAAAAAATAAGTGGCCTATGACCACAATAAAATACACATTACCTTCAAAAGTTACAATGAGGCCTTGTCCCCAAGAACTTG